TTTCGGATTGGTCGAAGTTAGGGAGGGTGGAGGCTGATCCGGAGTGGAATTTGATTGGTCGTTCGTCTGCGAGGATGAGCCTGATTGGTCGGTTGTTTGTGTGGGTGATCGATTGTGATTGGTTGGTTTTGCACGTGGAAAATCGATTTTTGATTGGCTGGTGGTTCAGTGGCGAACAGAATGTTGATTGGTTGGGTAATTTAGGAAAAAAATTAAAGAACGAAAGATTATAAAAAACAAAAAGACTATAAATATCGACATAACCGACCGAAGTCAAGCAATAAGTGATGACTCAATGACGAAACGATGCCCCCGCCAGAATTTGTTGATGACGTCAGTTGGAATCCCCCACCCCCACCGCCATTGTTGTTGTAACCGGAAGTGCTGGTGTTGTCAGCTGATTGCTGATTGGCCGACGAAGAAATCGCGTTGTGATTGGACGAGCCAGGCTTGTATTCGGCATCCGGGTCCTGCAAGACAAATAAATGAGTAAACAAATCACCATCATCATCATCATCACCATTATCATCACCACCATCATCATCATCACCATTATCATCACCATCATCACCATCATCATCATCATAATCATGACATCCGATTTAATCTCCCGCAATAAATCATGGAAACAAATTTCATTCACGGCACTGTTATCATCACCATCATCGTCATCATCATCATCATTAATAAATAACTCATCATCATCATCATCATCCTCCTCGTCATCATCATCATCGTCATCATTACCATGACAACGAATGCTTAGCACACGTGATCTGTGACATTTGGCAGTCAGGAAGAAGTTAGGTGGAGTTGTATGGAATGTTTTATTATCATTATCATCACCATCGTCGTCATCATCATCATCGTCGTCATCGTCGTCGTCATCATCATCATCATCGTCGTCGTCTCGTCACGTGATCCTCGCGTATACCCGACGAATAATAAAAAACAAATTCGGCCTATTTGTTTATGGCAGTGGCAGTTGTTGCTGTAGTATTAGTAGTAGTATTGGCAGCAGCTGCAGTAGCCACAGCAGCAGCCACAGCAGCAGCAATATTAGCAGTAATGTTATAGTAGTAATAAATAATAATTAGTAGTAATTAATATTAACAAAATTATGAACGATAATTTTAATAATATGAACAATAATAAGGAAGAAAAAATAAGAATAGTAATAATAATAATAATAAATAATAATAATAATAATATATAATAATAATAATAAATAATAATAATAATTTTTTTGCTTTTGAAATGAAATTTTTTTCCTTCTTTTCAAAAAAACCAGCCATCCAACACGATGCCAGGATTTCAAAAGATGGCTACTCGCTTTTCTTGAAAGAGAGATAGAGAAAGAAAGAGAGAGAGAAGAAGAAAAGAGAGAGAGAGAAAGAGAGAGAGAGAGAGGGGGGGGGGGGTGGAGAAAAAAATGAAAAAGTAAGAGTGCAACGAAATGTCAAAAAAGAGAAGAAAGCAACTGTAGCAAAGGAGCTTGTGAGAAATTGAATTTTAAACCAACATGTGTAATCGCGTTAGGTCTTTTTAAAAGTAATTTAAACTCTTCTTCCACTACTTCTACTACTGCTGCTACTGCTTTTACTACTACTACTACTACTACTACTAATAATAATAATAATAATAATAATATTATTATTATTATTATTTTTATTAATAACAACTATAATGATAATACAATTTTTAGTAGCCTTAATATTTTATTATATTCAATATTCTACTTTCACTTCTAGGGCCCCTAATTGTACATCAACATCTTTGCCATGATAGCTGCTACTACTGCTGCAGAACTATCACAATCACTAATAGTTTTTATACTAGAAAGAGAAAGTGAGGGAGAGAGAAAGAGAGAAAGGAAGAGAAAAAAAAAGAGAGAGAGCGAGAGAGAGATAAAAATTTTCTTCGTCATTTTTGTGAAATCAGCTTCAATTTCGCTTACAATGTTTCAAGTAAACTTCAATTATTTCCAATATTTGAAAAAATTATAGAGAGATGAACGAATGAATGAATTAGTGAGTGAATGAATGAACAAGCGGACGAAAGAATGAATCAATGAATGAATAGATAAAATCAATAAATTATTGAGTATACGAAAGAACGAATAGACGAAGGACTAAAAAATGAAGGAGTGAATGAATGAAGGAGTGAATAAGTGAATGAACGAAAGAACAGATAAACGAACCAACGATTGAATGAATGAATGAATGAATGAACGAATGAATGACAGAAATCGAATGTGAAACACCAGCTAATTCTAGTACTTTAACAGAGTGCATGCAAATACTTCCATGTAGGTGTAGTATAACATTTTCAGTAATAATAATAATAAAAACAACAACAATAATAATAATATAAGAATATTATTACTACTATTACTATTACAACCCCGGAAGTTAGTGTAGATTCAATTGCAAATAGCGCTGTTGATATTGTATAATGCTTATTTTAATAAATTTTCACAGCAAAGAATACAATTTTACACTGAAAATGAATGAATGACACATGTAAATAGCACATCCATGGCTAGAAGAGGAGGTCTGCACATTATGGCAAAAGAACTGTAAAGAAACACACAGAGGAAAATTGAAACAAAGAATTCTTTTAATCCGAGCCCTCACAATTTTTAACGGAGTATAAACATCGTTTTGAATTCAAAAGTTTTTTTTAACAGAAGAGTGAATGATGAATGAATGAATGAATGAATGAACGAACGAATGAATGAATAAAAAAAAATGCATGCATGAATGAATTACCGATGACAAAACGAGTGAGTGAATGAATGAATGAATGAATAATGATGATGATGAATGAGATAACATCTTTATATATTAAAATTTACGATACAAAATAAGGAATCTTACATTTTATTGCGGTAACTACTTGGGCTACTAATACTGTCACTACTGCTACTACTACTAAATCGACTACTACTACTACTATTACTACTGCAACTACTACTACTGCTGCTGCTGCTGCTACTACTACTACTATAGAGAACTCACACGAAAAACATCAATCAAGGAAATGAGTCGAAAACAAATGTTTATGATTGTCTCTTCGAACGTGAAGCCTATGTAGTAGTAGTAGTAGTAGTAGTTGTAGTAGTAGTAGCTGCTGCAGTAGTAGTAGTAGTAGTAGCTGCAGTTTCAGTAGTAGTAGTGGAAGTTGTAGTAGTAGTGGTGGTAGTATAGCAGCATACATCTCCCTCCATCCTAATAAAACACGCTAGCCTTCCACGTGTAAAAACAAGCAGATGGAAACAACACTTCATACATAATAATGAACTTGAATTAATATTAATGAGTCTCTCATGAATATTAATTAGGCAGCTTCGTGCATATTAATTAGGTACGTATATGTTAATTAGGTAGCTACTTGCGGTGATATATGTGATCGTTATGGTTTGTTTTATATGCACATAAATAATTAATTTGGAACCCTAACCCTGGGTAAATGAACCTGTAAAAATAAAATACCACACACACACACACACACACACACACACACACACACACACACACATGCATACATATATACTTAGAAAAAAAACTACCACCACATACTTATGTCTCCATACTTTTGCATAATCACGTGGTATTGATTTTGCCGGAAGTACACGCGCGTTTAAAAGTGGATTCCTCCGTGATATTGATTTTTATTTTCCAACTCACGCACACAAACAGTGAGAGAGAGAAAGCGAGAGAGAAAGGGAGAGAGAGAGAGAAAGAGAAAGTATGTAATATTTTTTTGCTTGCGTATCGTTTGATGGGACAAACATCTGTTTGACAATGTTTCTTCTTCTTCTTCTTCTTCTACTTCTTCTTATTCTTCTTCTTCTTCTTCTTCTTCTTCTTCTTCTTCTTCTTCTTCTTCTTCTTCTTCTACTTCTTCTTATTCTTCTTCTTCTTCTTCTTCTTCTTCTTCTTCTTCTTCTTCTTCTTTTTCTTCTTCTTCTTATTATTATTATTTTGTTATTATTATTGTATATTTAAATAATTTTTCATTATGATTATTATGATTGTTCTTTGTTTTTTTGAGAAAAATACGCGCGCAATTTATTTCATGGTTGCAAGTTGTTGCATCATCATCATCATCATCATCATCATCGTCATCGTCATCATCATCGTCAGTTCCTCCATCAACACAACATTTTTATTTGCACTCTTAATTAACTGTTTACCGTTTTACGATACCCAAAATATAACCGCCAACCTCATCATCATCATCCTCATCCTCCTCCTCATCATCAACAACAACAACATCGTCATCATCATTATCGTCAACATCACGTCATCATCATCATCATCAACAAGAACATCATTTTGACCTGCTAAGCAAGTGGTATCAATCAATCAGATGACCAAACGTACATACATACATACATACATACATACACACACATACATGCACACACATGAACACATATATAGAGACATACGTACATACATCAGTTAAAATATTGGCCATTTGAAACTTCGGAATAAACAATAAATTAAGTATGTGTCTGTGTATGTATGTATGTACGTGTGCATGTATGTGTGTGTATGTATGTTTGTATGTATGTACGCATGAATGTATGTGTGTTCATTCATTCATTTATTTGCATTTTTAACTTCCAAATCATCACCAAAAAAATTTTTTGTGGAACGCATTAGACTTCATGTTCGATGGTTATATAATCACATTCATTATTAATCGCCATTGCAGTCAGTCATTATCATCCTCGCCACCAAAACCCAGCTGACCACCAAAACCCAACTGACCATCCACATGATGAGAAGCTTTCCTCTACAGCAACAGCCAAACAAGCAGAGCGGCTCAGGTTCTTTCGTTGGCGAACTATCATACCTCTGATTATGACGTGTGCCAGTCGACCCACCCGAGGTCCCCCCTGAAGCACCCCCTGCGGATGAGCCCCCAACGCCACTTCCGCTATTTCGTTCGTGCTTTTTTTGCTGTCGATTGTGGTGCGGCTTGAGTCG